AAGTACTTGTGATATTGTTTACATAATTTTGTGTTTTTTTAATAGTTAGAGAGAATGCTAAAAATTCTTCCTTAGAATTCCTTCTATTCCTTTCCATACCAAAAACAGAGTTTTGCCTTATATTTTAAAGTGGTAACCTGAATAGTTGTTGGTAGAATCATACCAGGAAGAATTTTTAATATTTTTGGAGAAATATGTGCCTTTAAATCAATATACTAAACCACAGGAACACGAAGTTCTTTCCTTTGAAAGAACTTTGTGCATTACTGTTTGTGCTTCTTAGTTGAAGCAAAACAGGCTGTATTTGCCTATTTCCCTTTTCAAAAAGAAACCCCTCCCAACTTGTGTTTATAAAGTCACAGTCACATCCATTCAAATAATTTGGGCTTTATATGAGTAATCCTACTACAAATACTTGTTTGAAAGCAAAAACCAATAAAATTCACCTATGTAATCTGTGACCCTTGTTTTTTCTTTTGGATGCTTACTCGGTTGCTTTTTATAGTTGCTTGTCTTTATTTTAAAGGGAGAAAAGTAAGAAAAGTAAAACTACTGATATTCATAGCTCTGGAAATTTGGCTTAACTTTAATAATAATAATTACCATAATAACTGTTGACTGAGATCTTGTCACATACCAGACACTATACTAGGCATTTAACATTTATCTGTTGTCCTCATAAAGCCATCTGAAGTAAATCTTACTTCATAGGAAAATCATACTTAGTGATATCATGTGAATATCTCTGCTAGGAGCCCTTTTTTAAATTTATGGATTTCTAGATAACAAACTGACTGAAGAACTAATGGGAAAAATATAGATAATCAGGACTACTGAGAGACTATAGAAAAGTTGAAAGGATTTTGGAAAGACTTATAAAAATGTGAAAGCATGCTCACCACAGACATAAATATTAGACCCAAAAGAAATTCATAGTGATTCAGATATACCAAAATTTAGTGTGTTGTTATTATGGTATTAACTTTCTGTTACTCTAAGAAATACCTGAGATAATCAAACTATAATGAAAAAAAGTTAGCTGGGAGCCATAGTACACACCCATAATCCCAGTGAATTGGGAGGCTAAGGCAGGAGGATTGAAAGTTTGAGGCTAACCTCTGCCACTTAGTAAGACTTAGTACTGTCTCAAAAAAATAAAACAAAAAGGACTAGGCTACATGCTCAGTGATGGAAGTATCCCCGAGTTCAATCCCTGCTTAAAGAGGGAGAGAAAAGGTTTATTTTGGCTCATTACTTTGGAGATTCCAGTCCATGATGGGTTGGCATGTTGCTTTGTGCCTGTGGCAGGGCAGAACGTGTATGGCAGGAGTGTATGGCCCAGCACAACTGCTCACCTTCTTTCTTTTTTTTTTTTTTTTAATGTTTATTTTTTAGTTTTAGGTAGACACAATGTCTTCTATTTTTATGTAGTGCTGAGAATCGAACCCCGTGCCTCATGCATGCTAGGCAAATACACTACCATTTGAGCCACATCCCCAGCCCTGCTAACCTTATTTCAAGCCAAGAAAGCAGAGAGGAAGGAGAAGAGACTGGGGTCCCACAATCCCCTTGTAGGGCACACCCCTCAATGACCTAAAGACCTCCCACTAGGCCCAACCTCTAAAACATCCCACCACTTCCCAAGTCTTTGGGGGACGTTCAAGATCCAAATTATAGCTATTACCTTGGTCTTGATAATTTCTTTGATTTAGAAATAATCAAAGTGATTAGGCTTCAGTTTAAAATAGAGAGGTCAGAGTAGCTCTCACAGAGAAGGTGACATTTAATCAAAGACCTGAAGAGGTGGTGGGAATTTAGTCAAGGGGCTATTTGACCCTCCAGGGGAAGGGAAACAGGCAGTTTACAAAAGGGCCTTGAGTTGAGGCTGGAATGTACCTTGACTGAAGAAGAGTGAGCATGCAGAAGAGTATTAGAAAAATACAAGGTAAACAAGTAGGAAGGATTCAAACTCTTTAAGGCCTTGAAGGTCATTTTAAGGACTTGTGTTTTATTTTGAAGTGAGATGGGGTAGCATTATACAGTTTTCAGCATAAGAGTGATATGATCTAATTTGTGATTTAAAAGAATCATTTGGACTACAGTGTTGATAATTAACAAGAATAGCATGGGTAGAAGCAGAGAGACTAGGAGACTGTTGAAATTTATCTAGGCAGGAGATGATGGATCAGACTAAAGGAAAGCAGTGAAGATGGTTGGAAGTAGTTAAACTCAGGATGTATTTTGAAGGAGCCCACAGGATTTCCTGACAGTTTGATTGTGAGTGTTTGAGAAAGAAAGTCAAGAATGATTCTAAGGCATGAGCAATTGAAAGGGATTCAAATTGTCCTCAACTGAAATGAGGAAGAAAGTGGAGTTGGTTTGGGGGAATGGAGGGAAATGAGAAAATCAGTTTGGGACATGTTAAATTTGAGATGTTATGAATTTGGACTGGTATTGCAAACTTGGAAGTCATAGACATATAAATGACAGTAAATGTATACCTATGAAATTGTACTTCAGTTGGGGTTAAGTAGTCTTCAATAGGGGAAAGTAGTATAAAACTAACTTTATCTCACAATTTTTCCTGGTGCCAGCATTTCTGATAGCCCACTTCTAACCCAGTTAAGAACCCAAACCAATTCTTAAGAGTTTAGCTAGCTAATTAATATAAGTATATAATTAGTAATGTAAAATTGTTCGCGTTTCTTTTCAATAGTGTTTATTTTCTTTTCATATATATTCATCATTTAAAGGGCAAGGTGGCTTAGAGGTGGAGTTCTGTGTTTAGTTTTTGGACTCACTTTTTCGTAGTTTGGGTGTGGTGAAATTATATCTGAATTATACTTGCCTGCTTTACTAGAAAATGCCAAGTAATTGAATTACTGAAGACTAAGACAAAATACAGGGTCATATTAAATTGCATCTGACAGTTTAAGGAAAAACAATGAAAATGGAAAACCAGCCTGGGCATTCAGAAGCAACATCTACATCACTGGTTCCTATATTTTGGGGCATATTGAAATCACCTGGCATCTCTAAAAATCCTGCTATTTATCTGGCTCTTACTCTCAGAGTTTCTGATATATTTAGTAAATGATGAGACCTGAGTGGGCATCAAGATTTTTAAGTTCCAGAGGTAATCTCATGTACAACGAAGTTTGGAAACTACTATGGTGTCCATGTTTTTTCCTAATGGAACTGCCATTAATAGTCACAGTATTCAAAGTCCCTACTAAAATTATTTTTATTCTTTGTTGTTGCCCAAAATGGAAGCCACATTGTTGTTGTTTTTAAAAGAGTCCTCAAGAGCCAGACCTGGTGGTACATACCTGTAATCCCAGCAACTTGGGAGGCTGAGGTAGGAGGATCTCAAGTTTGAGACCAACCCCAGCAACTTAGTGAGACCCTGTTTCAAATTAAAAAATAAAAGGGGCTGGGGATGTGGTTCAATGGTAGAGTGCTTGCCTAGCATGCATGAGGCCCTGGGTTCAATTCCCAGCACCACATGCACCAAAAAAAAAAAAAAAAAAAAAGAAAGAAAGAAAGAAAAGTGACTCTTACAAAAATGAGAACTTGATATCAAGATGAGTTTGCATAAACAGACCATACTAAAGTAGCATGTATTTTCCATTAAGGGGTCGGGGGAAGGTCCTCAAGGCAGATTGGAGTAAATGAGCTCTTGCTAAATCATGCAGATAAGTTACTATCATTGCTGTAGATCTGTTCACCTGGCCTTTTATTTTTTTCCACATTTTTTAGTTTCATCTGGCCATTTGTGTCTAGCATAAATGAACCCCAAATTGGAGGCAGCTGTGATATCATGGTAACTGTATTGGAGTTGGAATAATAAGACTTAGATGCAAATTGAAATTCTTCCACTTACAGGCAGAGTTATGATGGGCAATTCATTTAACTTTGCTGAAATTTTAATTTGTTTTCTTGATAATTTTTTTTCTGTTACAGAGTTTATAACAGTTGTTATAAAGAGTTTTTAAGGCTCATATAATGTGAAGATAAACAATAAGATCCACGTGTAGATATTAAAGTATTTATTTGAAAGGCTATTTCTATTTTTTTCTTTTGGTTTGCAATGGAGTCTCTCTGTTGCTCATCCTGATCTCAAACTCCTGGGCTCAAGTGATCCTCCTGCCTCATCTTCCTGAGTAGCTGAGACTATATATCTATATATCTATATTTATCTCTCTCTCTATATATAATATACCACCATATCTGGCCTTCAAAAGGATTTTTCTTAATCTTAGAAGTGACATAACATTGTACAATGTAAAAGTTTCCTGGAAGTGAATAGTTTTTTCCTGTAGTTTTCCCCACTGTCTTAATGGTGCTCTGGCCAAGTGCAATGGTTTGTAGTCCGAGTGATTTGGGAGGCTGAGGCAGAAAGATTGCAAGTTCGAGGCCAGCCTTAACAATTTAGTGAGGCCCTAAGCAACTTGGCAAGACCCTGTCTCAAAAAACTTTTAAAAGGACTGGGGATGTAGCTCTTGGGTTAAATCCTTAGTAAATAATAATAATAATAATAATAATACTGTATACAATAGAATTTAAGGTATAGTAGAGAAAGTGTTATTTTGTATTTGCTGTAGTGTTCATCTATAGTTTTGGATTCAGACTTGGTTTTCAACAAAGATGTTGCCATGTTAAAGCAAATTTGTGTCAGCAGACATGTTCCAAAACCAAGTTTCTTCTCTTTTTATACTGGGAATAATAATATCTACCTTTCAGGGCTCTTATGAGGTTCACTTTTAAAGCCTCAAGTGTAATGAGTAGCTGGCACAAAGCATGCAGAAAATGATAATTTCTGTTTTTCTTTCAAGAGTACAGTAATCTTGGAAGAGTAATTATAAAAATCTGAATGGTAATTTTTCAGGAGTTAAGAATTCTTAACTATCTTTTTTTTTTTAATTTGTCTTATTGATTTCCTTATGTGTCCTAGTTATGGATGCTTTTAAAAGCAGTATTTATTTTGTATGCTTTTTCAGATAGTAAAAAAAGAAGACGTTTTACATTTACACCATGTATAGCACAAAGGAAAAGAATGACAATGACAAAGATGATCTTCTGCTTAGAATGGGACTTAATGATAATAAAGCAGGAATGGAAGGATTAGATAAAGAGAAAATTAACAAAATTATAATGGAGGCCACAAAGGTATGTTTTTTGTTTCTTTCCATATCTGTAATTTAATTACTTTTAAACTTTCTGTTTCAAGGAAAATCGTTGTTTTGAATATTCTTTTTATTAAATATTTTAATATATATTATTAAGCAATGAAAGAGTAAGGAATAATCTCCCTTCAATTTTTTTTTCTTTTTTTTTTGGTACTAGGGATTGAACCTATGGACACTTTACCTCTGAGCTACATCCCCAGTCCTTTTTATATTTTAGTTTGAGACAGGATCTCACTAAGTTGTTTAGGGCCTTGCTTAGTTGCTGAGGCTGGCCTCATACTTGAGATCCTTTTTCCTCAGCTTCCCAAGTCACTGGGATTGCAGGCATGTGCCACTGCACCCCGGCATAATCTCCCTTCTAATTTTTTGCTCTTGCCATTCCAGTTTCAGTGGTACATGGCTATAATCCCAGCTTCTCAAGTTCAAGATCAACCTAGGCAATTTAGCAAGACTGTCTCAAAAGAAAAAAAAAAAAGGACTGGGGGGTTATAGTTCACTGGTAGAGTGCCCCAAGGTTTAATCCCCAGTACTGCCAAAAAAAAAAAAAAAAAAAAAACAAAATGATTTACAAGTTTTTTTTTTTTTTTTTTCTTATTTTGTTTTGGTGTGTTTTTATTTTTATTTGGAGGTCCTGGGAATTGAGACCATTGCTCATGCTAGGCAATAACTCTACCACTAAGCTACATCCCTAACCTTTTGAGACAGAGTCTCAAACTTGGAATCTTCTTGCTTCAGCCTCTTTTTAAAAAAAAAAAAAAAAAAAATTAGTTATAGAAAGACATAATACCTTTACTTTATTTATTTATCTTTAGGTGGTGCTGAGATCAAACCTAGTACCTCACATGTGCTTGGCAAGTGCTCTACCACTGAGCTACAAACCCAACCCTGCTTCTGCCTCTTGAATAGCCAGGATTACAAGCTTGTGGCCCTGCACCCAGCTGCTCTTTTCTTTTTTTTTTTAATTTTTTTTTTTTTAATACTTTTTTTTTTTTTTTGGTGTAGATGGTCACAACACAATGCCTTTATTATTTTTTATGTGGTGCTGAGGATCGAACCCTGGTCCCGCCCATGCTAGACAAGCGCTCTACTGCTGAGCTACAATCCCAGCCCCTGCTCTTTTCTTTTTTAACCTCAACAGGAGAGTACTATAATTGGTTGGTTTTCTGTCTTTTGTTTTTGTGGTGCTGGGGATTGAACCCAGGTCCTCTAGCATGCTAGGCAATCACTTTACCATTGAACCACATTCCTAGCCCCCAAATAACTGCAAATATTTTGTTTTGTTTTCAGTTTTTATAATTGAAGGTCTTTCTAAGTAAAGATCTGTATTGTTGTTTATGCTCACATGTGTGGGTATAATTTATTAATCCAGTCAGAATCTTTACTGATGGACATGTAAGTCATTTCTAGACTTTAATTTTTATAAATAATACACGCTGAATAACCTTATACTTCATAACCTTGCATGTGTACAAGTATACCTCTAGGAGAGATTCCTAGAAGTAGAATTGCTGCACAAAAGTACAGATAGCATGAAAAAATATATGAATGTATAATTTTTGTGAGTTATTAAATCATCAAACATTGATTGTATCAATTTTTACTTCTACCACTGATATGTATACGTGTGTATTACTAATACCAGAATTGCACTAACAGATTGTATTATCAAACTTATGGATTTGCCAAGCTGAAGTAGTAGTATAATGTAGCTTATAGCTTTAACAAACAACCCAATAAAAATATGGGCAAAAATATGAGTAGGTATTTCAGTAGAGAAAATTTGCATATGGTTCATAAATACATGAAAAGATGCTCAATATCATTAAGGAAATACAAATTTTAAAACTTCAATGAGATACTATTCACACTGCTATCCAGAAAGCTATAATAAATAAGACAGATGATCACAAATGTTGACAAGGATGTAGAGAAATTGGAACTCTCATATGTTGTTGGTGGGATTGTATGATGGTTCAGTCACTTTGGAAAATAATCTGTCAGTTCCTCAAAAGGTTAAGTATGACCCAGAAATTCAACTCCTAGGTACATAGCCAAGAAGAATGGCAATGTTTGTCCACACAAAAACATATACCCAAATGTTCTTAACAGCATTTTTCATAATAGTCAAAAAGTAGAAATAATCTAGTGTCTGTCAACCTGATAAGTGGATAGAGACTATGTTCAATGTTAGAATGGATATGTTGAGTGGTGGAATGATAAATAGCTTTAAGGTATATTTTTGCATTTTTATTATTTTTTTATTTGTTCTAATTAGTTATACATGATAGTAGAATGTTTTTTGATTCATTGTACACAGATAGAGCACTACTTTTCATTTTTCTGGTTGTATATGATGTAGAGTCACACTATTCATGCAATCATACATGTGCCTAGGTTAATGATACCTGTCTCATTCCATCATCTTTCGTACCCTATTGCCCCCTCTCTTCCCCACTTTCCTCTTTGCTTTACCCAAAGTTCCTTCATCGTTCCCATGCCTCCCACCCCTTATTGTAGATCATCATCCACTTGGTCATTTATGTTAAAACTTTGGTGGAGATGACTCAGCTAAATAAGGTCTTGGATATGGCCTGTGGATTCTACCTAGGACAAAGTATTCTGTTCTGAATGCAGATCTGTACTCAGCACAATAATTCTGTGATTTAGAATTTATTAATTCTATGATTAATGAATATATTTTATAGATAAGGAAACAAAGAATAAGTAATTTCTTACTAGCTGGTTCACCCATCTAGTAAATGGTAGAGCTAAGTTTGAATTCAGTTCATTTGATTCCAGAGTCTGTACTCTTAGCCAACAAGGTATACTATAATAATGCTTTCCTTCAGACATATTTCTTATGATTTATTTTCTCCATAGGGATCCAAATATTATGGAAATGAACTCAAGAAGGAAAAACAAGTCAACCAACGAATTAAAAATATGATGCAACAAAAAGCTCAAATTACCAGCCAGCAACTAAGGAAAGCACAATTACAGGTATTAATTCAGTTGTTAAAGTGGAAGTTGGTGGAATAGTAATTGGCCTTTAAAATACGTTGTTTTTGAGTCATAACTTCAAATAAGATGAAATCTAAGTTTTCATTATATTGTAAAGTATAGAAAGCTAAGTTTCATTATATTGTAAAACATACACATTCAGCAAGTGTACTTACTTTGCTAAGCATTGTCATACTCATTTACAGAGATTCTACATCTAGACTTTATTACCTCCATTATACTGAAGAATAAATGGAGTCTTAATTAAATAACTTACCAGCCTCATAGGACAGGTAGTTGCCAGAGCTAGGATTCAACCCAAAACTTGTGTTTTTTTTTTAAATTATAGGCATGCTTTGCCACTAGAAAAGGCCACAGGATAAATTGGCATATTTTCTGTAATGCTGATTTTGCAGAAAAGGATTTGGAGGAACATATTAACTAATTAAATTAAAAGGCAACTTAAGCAGGCTCATACCTATAATCCCACTGACTCAGGAAGCTGAGGTGGAGGAACTGCAAGTTCTGGGCCAGTCTCAGCAACTTGATGAGTTTTTTTGTTTTAGATCATTCGTATTCTCTATCTTTGCACTCTAAAGTAGTTATTTTCACCATAGGTAGTAAAAAAAGTAGAAAAGATTTGGGGATGTGGCTTGGTGATAGAGGGCCTCTGGGTTCATCCCCAGTACCACCACCAAAATAAATAAATAAAAAAGAAAGTAATTTAAAACATAACCATTTTATAGTAAAACACACACACACACATACATACACACACATATATACATATATGTACATACACACACATATATACATATATATATAAATATGACAAATGTACCTGAATTTTAAAAATAAAACACAAAGTTTCTAAAAACATGGAGACTTTAGATTTCTCCAGTATTTAGGGAGAATAAACAACTTAGAGTTCCCTGTGCTATTAAGAGTTATTTCATTAGATCTGGGCTCTGTGTCACACACATGTAATTCCAGCAACTTGGAGGTTGAAGCAGGAGGATTGCAAAATCAAGGCCAGACTCAACAACTAAGCAAGGCCCTAAGCAATTTAGTGAGCTCTTGTCTCAAAATAAAAAATAAAATGGGCTGGGGATGTGGTTCAGTGGTAAAGTGCGTGCCCCAGTACCAAAAAAAAAAAGAAAAGAGTTATTTTATTAGAAAAGTTAGGAAGGAACCAAGGGACTGGACGTTCTAGGCCAGTCTCAGCAACTTGGTGAGATTTTTTTGTTTTAGAACAACCCTGTGGTGATCATTCTCGTTTTCTATAGTAATTGTGGAATAGTAAGTAATAGGAACCAAGGTTCAGGGCACCATGTGGTAGATTGACAATTCAAAGCAGTCACATTTCTGCTAATAAAGCTAAATTCATAGCTAGACAAGTTTACTCTCTTTTCAAAATCTGATTCAATGCTAAAGCATTACACTATACATAATAATAAAATTATAATATTAATTAATATGCAATGAAATCTTTCTTGTGATAGAATTCAGGGATCATAAATTATGTTTTCTTTCCTAAACTATGTATCATTTTTGATATATGCTTTTCTAAAGCACAGGATAATTTTAAATATTATACTGTGGTGACAAAAGATGATTTGTCTGTTAGATCATCATTTTTAATGGTTCTTAGCATTCCACTGTATGTAAGTAACATAATTTTATTTATTTTACCCTACTTTGGTTCCAGTTTTTTTTTGTTTTAGAACAACCCTGTGGTGATCATTCTTGTTATCTATCTTTGCACTCTAGTGTAGTTATTTTCACCATAGATGGTACTATTTTACATTTTCAATATTGTAAGTATTGTTTTCTTCACATACTTTTTTAAGAGTAAAATTCTCCTTTATTAGGTTATTTTAGTTTTGATATCAAAGTTAGATAATGACAGTCTCCCCCAAAAATTCTAGATCAAACTTACACATAGAGTATGTACAAATATACTAAATAAACATTAAAAATACTGTCCAATGATGTATATAAAATGAGTACATCACAATTATGCTCTTTTTAAAAATTTTTTTATTCTAATTTGTTATATATGACAGCAGAATTCAGTACAATTCATATTACATATATAGAGCACAATTTTTCATATCTCTGCTTGTATAAAAGTATATTCACATCATTTGTGTCTTCTTTATACATGTACTTAGGGTAGTGATGTCCATCTCATTCCACCATCTTTTTAATAACCCTTTTGTCCCCTCCCTCCCGCTTTCTCCCTTTGCCCTATCTAGAGTTGGTCTAATCTTCCCATGCTCCCTCTCCCAATCTCACTATGAATTAGTCTCCTTATGTCAGAAAACATTCGGCATTTGGTGTTTTGGGATTGGCTAACTTCTCTTAGCATTGTATTCTCCAACTCCCATCCATTTACCTGCAGATGGCATGATTGTATTCTCTTTTATTGCTAAGTAATATGCCATTGTGTGTATATACCACATTTTCTTTATCCATTTATCTACTGAAGGGCATCTGGATTGATTCCACAATTTAGCTATTGTGAATTGTGCTGCTATAAACATTTATATGGCTGTAGTATGCTGTTTTTTAAGTCCTTTGGGTATAAACCAATGAGTGGGATAGCTGGGTCAAATGGTGTTTCCATTCCAGGTTTTCCAGTGAGTCTCCTACTACTTTCCATATTAGTTGCACCATTTTGCAGTCCCACCAGCAATATGTATGAGTGTTCCTTTTTCCCCACATCCTCGCCAACATTTATTGTTGTTTGTATTCTTGATAGCTGCCATTCTGACTGGAGTGAGATGAAATCTTAGAGCAGTTTTGATTATTTCTCTAATTGCTAGAGATGTTGAACATTTTTTCATATATTTGTTGATTGATTGTATATCACCTTCCGAGAAGTGTCTGTTCAGTTTGTTGGCCCATTTATTGTTTGTTCCCCACATACTTTTTAGACCTAGATTTTATCAGTTTTATCATCTTTTAGGTTTTGATTTTACAGTGTCCAAAATATTACCTCATGGTTGTTTTCATTTATCTTCCTTTTGTTATACCATAAAAAGTAATCTTTTCACACTTTAGCCATTCTTATTTTCTTATTGTGAGACTGTCCCCTTTTATTCTGTTTGTGAGGATGTAGGTCAAGTAGCTGGCACAAGAAACCCAAAAATGTATTTGAAATAAGATAAGGCTATTTCTTTCTCACATATATGTAAGTGGCCACAACTAGTGGGGTACCATAGTAGTTGACAGACCCAGATTCTATAAATCATGTTGTTCTTTCATCTCCTGGTATTATCCTTACTTGGATTTACAAAACTGGATTATCTCTAATCCATATTCCATTTCTTGGTAAGGAAGAAAGACTGGGAGAAAAATATCAAAACTAAGTAGTTTGCTATTAAACAAGTAAAAAAAAAAGTTACACACATTGCTTAAACCCACATTCTTTTGGCAGTAGTTTAAATTACAGGGCCCCCCCCCAAAAAAAATAACTGCAAGATAAGCTGTAATATATATTCTCTAGCTGGATGGCTATGTGCCCAGCTAAAAATACGTTACTATGGAATGAAGGAAGGATTTGGAGCTTCAACTAGCAGTCTGAAGCAATATCCTTTGCCCACATTTCTCCATATTTCTAGGGAGTTTATATCCATTTCTCTTGATTTATAAGATCTTATCATATCTTTAGGGTTTTTCTCTTGCCATTTGATATAAATATGTTTCCAGTATGTTGTCTTTTAATTTTGCATGAGTTTTTTCCCTACACAATTTAAAAATGTTTATATAATCACATCCATTTTTTTAAGACTTTGTTTTTAGTGCTGTTTTGAGTTCACAGCAAAATTGAACAGAAGGTGGATTTCCCATATACCCCTGCCCCACACAGGCATTACCTCCCTGACTAGTATCATCCCCCATAGATTGGTACATTTGGTATAACTAATGACCCTACATTGGCACATCATTATCACCTAAAATCAATAAATCATTATTTGTGTTGTACAATTTATAGGTTTGGACAAATTTATAATGACATGTATTCACTATCATAGCATACAGAGCAGTTTTACTATCCTTAAAATCCTTTAGACTCTGCCTATTTATCCTTCCCTTTTACTAACCTTTGGCAATCAATCACTGCTCTTTCTAATACTTTCAAAGATTTACCTTTGCGGCGATAGTCGGAATCATACAGCATGAAACCTTTTCAAATTGGCTTATTCCACTTATGGTATGCCTTTAAGATCACTGCATGTCTGTTCATGGCTTGATAGCTCATTTCTTTTATGTGCTGAATATTATTCCATCCCATCATCTGGATGTACCAGTTTATTTATCTGTTTGCCTACTGAGGAGCAGGTTGATTACTTCCAAGTTTTGGCAATTAAGAATAAGCTACTACAAACATACATATGCAGGGTCTCTGTGTGGACATGTTTTCAATTCCTTTTAGTAAATGCTAAAGAGGGTAATTGTTGGATCATATGGTAAGAAACTGTTTAGTTTTAAAAGAAATTTCTAAACTCTCTTCCAAAGTGTCTGTACTATTTTGCATTACCGCCAGCAATGACACATTCATACCAATATTTACTGTTTCAAATATTTTAGATTTTAGTTATTCCAATTGATATATAGAATAGTGGTCTCTCATTGTTTTTAATTTGCATTTCCCTGATGGCATATGATTTCGAGCATCTTTTTTTTATATACTTATTTGCCACCTGTATTATCTTTTTTGGTGAGGTGTCTATTAAATTGTTTGGCCCACTTTTTAATCAGGTAGTTTTGTTTTCTTATTGTTAAGTTTTTAAAATTCTTTGTATATTTTAGATAATGGTCCTGTATCAGTTATGTCTTTTGCAAATATTTTCTCCTAGTCTGTGGCTTGTTGTTTCACTCTTTGTAGAATTTGCTTTGATATAAGGTATGAAGTACTTTTTTTCTTAAAGGTTATTATATTTTGCCTAAATGGTGATTCAATTGTCCCAACACCATTTATTGAACCATAAGAT